AAAGTGGAAAAAATTAAAAACTGCTCTACTGACCTCTTATTGATAGTGAGCTGTAAAATTAATAGCTTTAGTCTACCCAATTTTGCACTGAGGCTAACAAATAGTGACAAGGCCGACCTGTATTTTTCTGCAGCTCATTGAAGTTATCTAGCGAACAGTTTGGTGTAGTGCAAATGTTATTAAGAGTCTGCAAAATGTTGTACAGACTTTTTTTTTGTTGCGCTTTAATGAGCATTAGCTTAATTTTCCTGATTCTTTAATGTCAATCCTTTTAATAACATTGTGATTTTAAAAGATAAAAGCTAGAATATAATGCCAAACAGATGATAGCTGTGAGTAGGATGAATAAATTTGTAGAAGATAACTTTATCACTGCATTTTGAAAAAAATTTTTTTTTTACTGAAACGCCACCAGATTAAACAGTTACCGTGATGTGAGTTTATTAAAAAATAAATAAATAAATAAGACTTTATTCCTGAGAACTGTTAAGGAAATAACATTTAGACAATTTAAAGTTTGAACTACATAGTAATTAAAAGTTAATCTGATTGTCTAATTTAAGTGAAATGGGAGCAAAGCAAGTGTTCTCCTATAGCACAACAATGATTATGGATTCAGTGGCTTCATTATGTAGTTCTTGATCGATAATTTAAAATCAGTGGCTTGAATTCATTGATGTCTTCAGTATTACTTAGCAAATTCTAAATTTATGACCTTCAGTGTAATAAATGCCTTTTTTTTTTTTTTTTTTTTCTTCAAGATCAGTTGTTTCACTGAAGCTAATTGGCTAACTGAAGCTACGTTCTTTAAGCACGGTTTTGAAATGGGCATACCTGAACATATCAAAAATATGGAAAACTAATTCCATGGAATGTGTAGGGTGTTTCTGATAAAACCAGTTTGCATTCTGTAATTGTAAAGAAATACACATAAAATAGTTTGGTAGACTGTAGTCTACTATAGTATTTTACTGTCCATTAGTCATAACTTTGAAAATTTTTACATGTTCTATGTTTAAGAGAAATGGATCGTCATCTGTGTATCAGCTTCCTTCTGGCTTTCTAAGAATAGGTGTGCAATAAGGTTTAAAAAAAATGGGGCATATGTCTTCTCAGAGCAGTGTTATAACTCTCTTCCTTATTGAAGGAAAACTTGAATCAGACACTTAAAAATTAGGAGAAGCCATAGTTTAGCCAAATCTGGGAATATTGTTTTTAGATTTTTTTTATCAAGAATGGCTGAGAGAAGAAAGGTTCTTCTTAGAATATCCAGGTGGTAATAGTTATTCTACATTATCACTTAGATAATTATTTTCTAATTCTTTAATCATTATGTTTCATGTCATTCTGTGTGTTTTCTTGAACATTTTTAAGAACTTAAATAGGAAATGTCAATATTCCCCTTCTAACAATAATCCTTCTAAATTTACTATCTGTGATAATATCAAGTTAGACAGTCTAGCAATTATCCCATTATGATGCTAGGTAATTACAAGTTTAAGAAATGAAAGTTGTGCAGTGCACAGTATGAGCATTCAGCAGTCCCTGAAGTCCTTTGTGAAGTTGAGATGGTAGTTTTTTATATGAAAGACTATTTTAAAGCCAAATTTGCTGTATTTTTTTTTAAAAAACCTGTAATGATGATTTTATAGTAGAATTGCTTTTAGACTGTGGGAGAGAGATGGAGATCCTGAACCACACAAGAGTTTAATACTCAGAAGGCAGTTTAACTGGCAGGTATAGCAGAGTGCAAGAAATTGTAGGATGCTCTTCAAGGCCAGCATCTGTAATTTCTTGCCCTAATTCAAGAATGAGCCTTAATCAACATAGATTGCAGGGGCCCATGTTTTTGTGCATTGGCAAATAACAGGCATGCAGAGCTATTTCGAAATTGATTCTGTTTTGTCATGAAGATGGTTATGGGAAGTATGTCTAACTTCAAGGGAAGGTTGAAACAAGCTGCTTGTCCAGCTGTGTTGTGCTTTCATGTGAAGTGTAGGGAACAATAGTGCTTTGTATCATTGAGACAGGATTGTATAATCCAACTATATCCAAATTATTACATTGGAACCTAGCTATGCACCATATCCTTCTTCTCATGGTGGGGTGGTGGGAGGGCAGGACTGAGAAAGGAGCACAGCAGTTTTGGATGATCAAAGGACCTGCATTCCAGGCCCTCTGCAACAAGCCCTGCACTATAGAGATGATTTCTGATGGTCAGCCATACTGAGTAATAGGATTGCCCAATGTATTATGAAATGTGGATTGAACACCACATTTATGTAACTCATTTAGCTGGATCTAACTGATAAGTCTTGCAACTTATATTGATGCTGCACCAGAAAACATTCACATCAGCCCAGTCTTTAAATATGTGCTTAACTTTGCAGCCTTGTGGTTAAGGTTGTGGACTGGGACCTGAAGAGCTGGGTTCAGTTCCTGCTCTAGTACAGTCATCCAGTGGGATACAGGGTAAGTCACTTAGGCCCCAATTTTTTTTTTTTTTTTTTTTTTTTTTTTTTTTTTGATATTTAGGCTTTTTTTTCTGCTCACCTAACTGTCTAACTAAGATATCTCAGGTTTCACTGCAGTAGTGACATAGTACTTAAAAAACTATGTATTGTTGGTTTTCAGTGAATTGTAGCACCAACCTTTTGAAAATACTGTTGTCTGTGCTTCTATAACTCATTTGCAGTGTGAGTTAATAGTATGTTTCTGTCTCAGAAATTTTGAGAGAATGAAGACAAAAAAATCAAGGGTAGTTAGTAGTACTATTTTGTTAAGACTTGTATATTCCTAAGACAGATAGTCCCACTCATTTTGCAATCTTATTGTTACTCTTTTTATCAAAGTAATCTTTCCCTGCATTTGTTTCTCTGCTGCCTCTCCTCTCGTAGTAGAAAGCAAGTCCTTTGCAGTCTTTTCATTATGTGCACATACAAGATCAGCCACAAGAGAGCCCAAAAGCATTGATTGGGGATGTATTTACTACCACAATATGAATCATAATTATAATCATGTACTTAGGTAGGGAGTAAATGATGCGCTGAAGCGGGTAGATAGAACGTGCTGTTTGCCTCTCTGAGATAGCATTTTAACCTCTGAAACAGTAGGTTGTTCAGAACTTGGCATAGTTCTTGAAGAAATGCTGCTCAGGCGTAGTTATTGCATATCTCATGGTCATATAACGAAAATAAAATACAAGCAGCTGTTTCACTGCTAACAATAGTTTATGGACTGTGGAGTAAATAAGATCAAGAGATTTTTGCACTAGTCCATCAACAGATTTTTATGTAGCTTTTCTTTCCTCTTCTTAATTTTCTTAGAGAACTATGACTTTAATTACTGCATGCTTAGGATCTCTTTCAGGTCTTTATACAGGAGATGATGGTGAGGTTATTTGTGTTTCATGAAGAGTTGAATAGCAAATGGACCAACATAAGAGCTGATGGTACCAGGAAGATAGCTTTAGAACGGGCTGTCTTCTCTAAAATAATGCCTACAACATGAGATATTCCACTTATTAGGGCTACAAATTACAGTGTATTTTGACACACTGCTGAAAAAGCGCTAGAAAGTTGGTGTTGGATGAAGAAACAAAATAGGACTTAATTGGAGTTGAGGCTGTTAGTCCCAAACAGGTTTTTGAGCTTTGCTCAGCCTCTCTTTACTAACAAAAATAAATAAACCCATAATACAACTCAGTAGTTATCTCTCTGGATCCAAGATTCTGAGGTCGACAGAGCTTTATGCTGCAGCCTGCTCAGACATGCTGCAGTCTGACTCTCAGGTGCTTTTTCTTTAGCCTGACAGTGGTTGTGAACACGAGTCCTAAGCTCTGTGAGTTAAGTCACCAGGACAGGTGCTATTCTTTGTGGCAGTAAGAGCTAGGCATTTGAAAATGAGGTGCCACAGTGCTCATTATTGAATTATTATTAAATTAATTATTAAATATTTTGTTAGTTTTTGTCTTAAATACTGTCCAAATTTACTTCCTTGGATTAACACCTTGGAAAGAAGAATTGCTTTATATAGATATAGATATGTCTGGAGATGAAAAAACAGCTTGGTTTTCAAACAGAAAATTTTACTTTAGTTTGTAGTACCTCAGGTAAACGATCTGGAACTATGATACTCCATTTTCACCTCTTGTCTCTATTTCTATCTGTAGAGATGGGCTGATACAGATTTCTTATTTAGCTGAAGCGAATCACTGTTGTATGCATTGTGAAATTTCATTATGGAGCATTTGAGATATCTGGAGAAGTAAACAGTATGGTTTTCATGTGCTAAGATTGGATGAAATACAAGATGTATCACACATGCTGTGCTATTCTTTACGTATTCATTGTTACTACTCTATTAAAATTTAAGGTGTAAAATTTTAAAGAAATGTTGATTAAGCTCCTGATAAAATCACTAGAAGGTTCGATTGTATGCCTGAAATTTGACATAAACATCTGTGTCACATAGAGATTTACTTTGTGTAAAGTTTGTTTCAAACTGTTACAGAGTTTAGCAGTGTATCATCTCAAAGTTTCCTAGATTTTAAAATATACAGAGCCATAATTCAAATAAAATTACTATTGCACATGACGAAAAAAGTTTTGAAATAAATGACACTTTTTCCAACTTGAAGGTGTTAGATGATTTCCCATTTGTTATGTCTAACTGACTCTTTGGCCAGTGACAGGACAAGAGGAAATGGGTGCAAACTGCAGCACAGGAAGTTCCATCTCCATGTGAGGAGGAACTTCTTGGCTATGAGAGTGAGAGAGCCCTGGAACAGGCTGCCCGGGGAGGTTGTGGAGTCTCCTTCTCTGGAGGTTTCAAAACCTGCCTGGATACCACCCTGTGCCCCGTGCTCTGGGTTTCCCTGCTTGAGCAGGAAGATTGGACTAGATGATCTCTAGAGGTCCCTACCAACCTTAAACATTCTGTGATTCTGTAATTCTTCTTACACCTCCTCTGATTTATATATATATTTTTTCCTTTTGTAGGTGCATATCTTGTGCCATACTTAGTTTTGTTACTGGTAATAGGGATTCCACTCTTTTTCTTGGAGCTTTCTGTGGGGCAAAGAATCCGACGAGGGAGTATTGGTGTGTGGAATTATATCAGCCCCAAGCTTGGAGGAATTGGATTTGCAAGCTGTGTAGTAAGTTTTTAACCTAGATTGTGTTATTTGTCTTCCAGTCAGTGGAATTTCAACTTTCTATTTTGCTGTTAGAAAAAGGAGATTGATTGGAAGCTGGGATTCATGGTCAATTACGATTTTTTTAGGAAGATTTTAATAATCGTATAATCAGAATAATCTTATATGGATGCATTTATAAAACTTAATCTGTTACTCTGTGATTCTTTGAAGGTAGGAACTAGGAAATAGATTAGTCTTCAGGGAAGAAAGAAGCCTATAAAAAGTGATTACATGTTACTGGATATTTACAGGGGTAAAAAAAAAGAGATTTAAGAAAAGGACAAGTATGTTAAGAGGGGCAAGCCATTAATTTGAGTAAGCAGAAATATGCAGAATTAAATGCATTTTTTTCTTTTAATTTACAAATGCAATTAACATATAACTTTTTGATATGTCTTTTTTTACAGGTGTGTTTCTTCGTTGCCCTGTACTACAATGTCATTATTGGATGGAGTCTGTTTTACTTTTCTCAGTCCTTTCAGCATCCATTACCATGGGACCAATGCCCTTTGGTTAAAAATGCATCTCACACCTGTAAGTCTATAACATATAAAAATCATCCAGGGACAAACATGATGACATTAAGGAAAAGATAGTCTTTTTGTTGAATTTTACTGGCTTTGCGTCGTGGTTTATTCAGGAAAATATATATCAAAAATTTGCTTTTGCATTTGACTCTTTTTCCAGCTGATATTTATAAATAACATAACTGAAGAGAATTGAAGACATTTTCATTCTTCCAATTGCTTTGTTTTACAGAATCGACTAATGTGTTCTATAGTGAGTTACCCTTTGAATTCTCTATTGTCATTTAGGAATAATAATTTTTTTCACTTAAAGTAGATATTACATTATGATATGCAGAATACTACAATAAATAAACTTAATCTGAAATAAATACACTGAGTTTGGAAAGGAACATCACTGTTAAAATTATTTTTGAAATTAACTGAACTAGGTGAGTATTATTACTTTAGTGGGTTGCAGGAAAAAAGTTAAAAGAATTTCTCATTGTATTTTTCTGATTTTAAAACTCTTTTGCTGTTTACTCAGTGAAAACAAATGTGAAAGAGACTGTTCCTGTATTGTACTTCCTGGCAACAAAGTCAAGAGATGTTGTAATCCTAACAAAGTAGAAAAGAAAAAACTGTAGACATCAGTGCTAAAAATCATGATAAAACATTTGTTTGCTTTTAAGCGAATAGAAATTACAGAATACATAGTTTGATTGTAGTTATAATAAGATGGCCTTGTATGGGCATACTGTGCAACAGTTTTAAAAGTTTAATGTATGTGTGTAGGATCCCTTTTTCACTTTGTCTTAAAGTTTTGGTATTTTTGTGTTATTATTTCAACATTTGTAAAAGCCTGTTGATTTGAGTGTCATATCAAAGCAGATACATTTGAGATTCTTTAATATTTTTATTTCAAAATCAATATAATTCAACCTTCAGAGTGGTAGTTTTCATACTATGTAGTTTCCATATGTAGGAAATTTCACCTTGTGCAATGAATACATCTCTTCCTATCTAGGTCTGTCTGCTAACTAGTACTGTAATAAGGACTAAATTCTGGTTAGGACTTAGATTAACCATCTGCAGAAGAATATCCTAGAAGAATGTTTTAAAAAGATGTGTAAAGAAATTTCCACTGCTAGCAGTCACTACTTCACTTATATAATATCTTCAAGTCTTTGTGGATCTTTGGGGATTTTGGTCCTAAGTAAATATTGATCCTGTAGTTGTGTACAGTGAGGAATGACAAAACATTGTGAAATGCTGGAAAAATATTTTTGCACTGGACCCATTCTTGATTTACTAACATTTCTTGACAGTTGTGGAGCCAGAGTGTGAAAAAAGTTCTGCAACCACTTACTACTGGTACAGAGAAGCCCTGAATATTTCCAGCTCTCTCTCAGAGAGTGGAGGTTTAAATTGGAAGATGACTATCTGCTTGCTGGCTGCCTGGGTTATGGTATGCCTAGCTATGATCAAAGGCATTCAGTCTTCAGGCAAGGTGAGTATACTATTTGCCTAAATGACAGTGTTTTATTTTGAAACATTTAAGATCTACTTCACTGCATTTTTGTTCACCACACCCTCTCCCTACCCTCCCTTGAAATCTGCAGGAGCAGTCAAGAAGCTCTGACTCACGCAGGTATTTGTATAATCACAAGTAGGAGAATATTAGTAGTTAAGCATTAAAACTGTAAATTAAACTCAGGAGCGGACTTAAAAAAAAAAAAAAAATCTACTTTCATTTAACATAACTGTTTCAAATAACTGCACCTCAGCTTTGTTGCACTGTTGATACAGCATGTGTCTGTATGCTGCTGAATGTCAAACTAAGAAATTAAATCTCCAGATATATCCATACTTTCAATCTGGCTGTAAAAGACATGCATTGGAATTCCATAAATAGTCCTCAGAGTGCCCTAGGGTTTAGCTTTTTTGTTGTTACAGTCATTGGTCTCCATGCATCTCTAACACTTTCTAGTAATCACAGCTTCTTTTCAGGGTTCTGGAGTGTTCTTTTGACTATCCCTTTTCATCCGAGTACATCACTTTGTTTTCATTCTCTTAGATGTGGTCAGCTAGATTTGTTAGCAATGTTAGTTTCATTGGGTTTTGCAAAATGAAATGAGAATTAATCTATTTTTTTGCTATTTACAGAATACTTTATTATCAGTATTTTTTTTTAAGAGGAAGAGATGATAGGAAATTTCTGTAGCTTCTTTAGTGTATTTCCACTAGAGAAATATCTGTCAGAAGTTGAATGACAGAATCATTTTACTGTAATTTCAAAGCATGGAATAAATTTACTATTCAAGAAATGATGGAGAGTGAAATATCACATTTCATTACTAAATTTTCTTTTTCTGGATATATTAGATAAAATCAGTAACTGTGCCAGAAAGATATTCAAATAAATATGAATATTAAGGTGATACAAAAGCCTTGAGGTGACCCCGAATGCATGAATGCAATAGTAAAAGCAGACTTTTCAGCATGAAAAACTGGACAGTATTGCATTTTAGGACTTTGAAGACAGGACTTTGCATTTTTTTACCTGACAGTTAAAGCAATATTGCTAGTATTTTTTTTTTTAGTCTCTTTTTTTGAGAGCATATAATTATCAGTTCAGTCGTATAGCCAAAAGATATTGACTAGAATATAAAACTACTAAAAATGAGGGCCACGGATGTCATGTTCAATATCTTTTTAATGTTTTTCAGATCATGTATTTTAGTTCCCTTTTTCCTTATGTGGTGCTTTTGTGCTTTCTGATCAGAGGACTGCTCCTCAATGGATCAGTGGATGGAATTCGTCACATGTTCACACCTAAGGTATGTACTTAATTTCTGTCTGCAATATATTTAAAGTTTCAGTGGCAACTTGACTGTTTATAAAGTCTCTCAATTGAGCCTACTACCTTCATAGAAGATCCTGCTTGTCAATTTTCAAAATGGCTCTAGACTTCAGTGGCACAATATCAATATCAAGTCCTAAGGTCCAGAGGCTCAATATTCAAGGCTCAGTGTTGAGATACATCCTTTAGGTGGCAAGTTCCCAGAGTTACAGGTCTTCACAAAATTAAGCACTTACAGTACTTAGGATGTGTAGCAAGCTCCATGGCCAGTACTGAAGAGAGGAGTGAATCTTTAATCTTGCCACTCCCTAGAATTTAGATGCCTAGTTCTGGGATGTCACAGTGAAATGTCATACAATGAACGCTTTCCTTGATCTACATGGTGAATTTGTCCCTTTTAAAAAGATTGTTCATTCTTTTAGAAGTAAGTGCTTCTTGCATAGTAGTCCAGAAACATAGGAGGCCTAGCACTCTGCTCATCTTGTGAAAGTGGAGTAAGTACTCAGCAGTCAGCTTTCCTTACTGTGCTCCATATGGCTGTCACACCAAGATAGCAGCAGTTCTAAGCATATGTTTTTACCATCTACAATTTTGCTGGTGATGTCGTACATAACAGTAGGTTTTACTACTGTAAGGGTGAGAAGGGATGCTAGTAATCATTGGTGAGCCTGAATGTCTGAGTTATGTTCACACTCCATTGAAATACTTTTTACTATATCCATTCTATAGGAACAGTGTGGTTAAGTAGTCAGAGCTGTAGTACCTGCTTGCTCAGGTATGCGTAATTTTGCTTCCACTAAGTCAGTTAGACAGCACAGTTCACCAGAAACAGTAGTGATGCACAAAAAGAAAGCTAAACAATAATGTAATTTCAATCAGTGCACACAGAGGCTACTGACAGATGGCAGAAACATTGTCAGGTGTTTTGATTCTAGCTATTTTGAGTCTGTGGAGAACTATCACTCTGTGAAACTGACCTGCATTAATTTCTTTCATTGCAATAAATGTATGCAAGTGCGCATACATGAGCGTGAGCACTGCGCTTGTTCATATTACTCTTCAGAATCGTGGTTCTGCAGGAACTCATAGGCTGTTCAGGCAAATTTGGGGAAGTCTGCGAAACAGAAATATCATGTTAATTGACAAAGATGATGTCTCTTGCAGAGATGGAATACAGACCTCTTGAAATTATACTTTAGTTCCTCAACCACAGTGTTATCATTTAATTGTGAGAATACCAGTAGATACTGAGAGAAAGTAAATATTAAAATTTAAAAAAATTAAAAAAGTGCTGAGGTCTTAGTATTAAAGGGAATATTTAATATTCCAAGACCTCAGTACTTAATGTTTAAACTTTTATGAGATAGACTTGAAGTAAGTTACATCTAATAACTTAATAGCCCAATTGTTTAAAATGTGCAGATAAAAAATATCAAAAGAAAGACCATTTTTAGTTTCTTCTACTGGTTCCAGGTGTGAATTGGAGCTGTGGTTTAAATTTGAGCTTAGGAAACCTGTTTATCACATACAGTATATGTGAATATAAACCTTATATATTTATATATGTCTATATATATATTTATATAATCTCTGATCATTTCTGTATTTGAACACTGCAGTCCCACTAACTGGGACTGTAGATCCATATGAAGCATTCTTTCTACTTGTAGGAATTCAGGTGCTGTTTCCATTCTCTCCATTCTGCTGGCAGTTTACTTAGGCAATAGGTTGCAAAGTGGATTGCTAAACTGATCCAGGTTGAAAATAACCCAGATACAGGAGAAAAGTCTATTCAGCTTAGATCGTTTCAGCAAACCAGATGACAACACACTCCCACAAAACAGCTGTGTCAGCACAGCAGAGAAACGTTACATATTGGTGCAGGTGTGACAGCATAGTGCTGGTGAAGAAGGGGTGGTTGTCACAGTTTAACATGGTTGATGAAGAAAGCAGAAATGCAGAATGTTAGACTCACTGAAATACTGAAAGGAATGTATATCAAAATCCCACTGAAGTCAACAACTATGAAGAAAATACAAGAATATATGAAGCTAGTTCTATACCTAGCCCTCAAAATCTCATAGTAAATGTCTTAATTAAATAGAAAAATTGCATTTTGAAAATTCAGGCAAGGTGTATCTGGAGAAGTAATATCTTTCATTAGGCCAAATAATACATTGAAGATATTTAAAGCATCTAAAGTTTTGGTAAAGTTAAAAATATGCCTCTATCACCCTCTAGTGAAAAACAAAAAGCATAGCTTTGTGATACTGCTACCCTAGCTAAGGGAAATTTTCTCCTCTGATGAAGGCAGTCAGTCATTTGGTTAGTGTCTCTAGGCTGATGCTTTTTGGTTTACAGTTTTTGATAAAGCTAGTTTTTTTTTTTTTTTTTTTTTAAAGGATCATATTACCAGAAGTTAGGTCTGTTACTGTTATTTAAGAGAAGGCTCTGAATCAACTTGAAAAAAACCTAATGTTTAAATTTTATGTGCACTTCTTTTTGGGGAGTAAACTAACTAGAAAGATCTGATATAAGCAAAAGATGACCTTTGACTTTAACAAAGAATTTTCTTAAAATGTGGTCATCTGAAGGGGAAATGCATATAGAAATAATTGTTCAGGTTCAATACAAACCTTTGCTGTCTCTCAAATACATGATCAAGTAGCTCAGGATAAATTCAAGGCATTTTGCTTGACAGACCTTTGATTCATAGATTCAATACTGGTGGCAAGGGCAGTGTTTATATGTTGTATTTTGCTTTTCATGTAATAGAATTCTCTGTAAGTATGTATATTTGATGTTTAGTTTAAAAAAAAATTGAAACTATTTAAAATGAACTTTAGAAGAGTATTCATCATCCTTAAAATAAATCTTAATTCTTACACTGGTCTAACTATATATTGTAAAAAAAAAAAAAAAATAAAAAATAAAGAAGTGACATGTTGTCTTTAACTTTTTGGTATTACTAGCTGTTAGTTCCATTATCATACAGGTTCAATAATGTCTCATTGTGGAGACATACTGTAAAGTAAATTTCTCTTTAAGGATCATATTGCATAAAGTCAGTGAAAATCCTGGGCCATGAGTTCACACAACTTTAGGTCTCACATTCTGCTTTATTGTAATAAAAATGCTTTTATAGTGAAGTATTAGCATTTTGTTATGTAGGTTGTCTCCTGTTATTTTCTGTTGTTTTTTTTCATATAATAGAAATGCATTTTATAGCTGACATATATTGTATCTAATTTCAAACAGCTTGAAATAATGCTGGAGCCCAAGGTCTGGAGAGAAGCTGCTACTCAGGTGTTCTTTGCCTTAGGGCTTGGATTTGGTGGAGTCATTGCCTTTTCAAGCTACAACAAGAGAGACAACAACTGCCATTTTGATGCTGTACTGGTGTCCTTCATCAATTTTTTCACTTCTGTGCTGGCAACTTTGGTGGTGTTTGCTGTTCTGGGCTTCAAAGCCAATATCATAAATGAAAAATGTGTTATCCAGTATGAATATCCCTTTCTTTTTCTTTTTTATGGTATATTTCATTTAAGAATTCACACAGGTGATCCACTTTGATTTCTCTATTTTATTGTGTTTTACAGAAATTCGGAGAAGATTTTAAAACTTTTGAAAGCAGGCAATCTTAGCCAGGACATTATCCCACATCATATCAATTTCTCAAGCATTACGGCAGAAGATTATAATTTAGTTTATGACATTATTCAGAAAGTTAAAGAAGAAGAGTTTGATTCTCTTGGTCTGAAATCTTGTCAAATTGAAGATGAACTTAACAAGGTGAGATCATAACATTGTTGCTGAAAAGATGATATATGTTTACAGTACTATTTTTAGAAAAGTTGAGCACAGTTATTTTGCAGACACTAAACTGGAGATGTAAATATTCAGCATCTCAAACTATGATATCTTCAAATTTTAAGATACAGTTTTTAAATATAAATGCTACTTGATTAGAAAGTAAAAGAAAGATATTTCTTTTTAGCTAATTCTTTAATTATCATTGTCCTGCTCTAAAATCATCACAGTAAGCCTGGTTACATCTGTGAGATTTTCTGTTTTAAGGAAATAACCTCTATTTATTTGCATCAGCTTCTGAAAAGAAAACACCATTCAGTTCACCAAAAATTCTATACTATCCTGACAACTTTAATCTGAAACAAGTATAAAAACAGAGTCCTTCACATATTCAGTGGAGACAAAAGACTGTGTTTTATAGCAATTCACTGATAATTTTGTATGTTGTTAATATCAGTCACTTAATGATTCTTGGCCAAATCAATCATTTCAGTAAATAATATAAAGAAATATGGGAAATTTAGTTGTTATTCTTTCTTCTGCCATTCTACCTTCAAAAAAAAAAAAAAGAATAGCATTATATGAACATGGAGTCAGACTTTTGCATGCAAACTTAGAAAAACAAACAAACAAATCAAAACTTCTGGTCATTAATTAGAATATGTGGATTTTGTCTCACTGACAGGCTGTTCAAGGGACTGGTTTAGCTTTTATTGCATTTACAGAAGCAATGACCCACTTCCCTGCTTCTCCCTTCTGGTCTGTTATGTTCTTCCTCATGTTGGTAAATCTGGGGCTTGGAAGCATGTTTGGAACTATTGAAGGCATCATCACACCAATTGTTGATACCTTCAAAGTCAGGAAAGAAATTCTTACAGGTGAGCTTCACAAATTTTGTTTTCTTGCTAGTACAGTAGAGGAAGAAGGCTGTAATTACAGCTAAGAATGCCGTGGAAATTATGATTTTTTTTGATATATGTATTGACATACAATATAGCTATAATCAGTATATTCCAAACTGTACTTCCAGGCATGTGCGTGTTGGTATGTCCGGGTAAAACTATTTTCTGAATGGTACAAAAGGAAGAGTATCCTAAAACTTAAATTTTATTACAGCATTCCTTTGTAAGTTTCTGTAGGTTCAGTCCTTCTAGCTCTTCCAAAATATTCTCTATTCCAACCTGTGCCACAGGCCAAAAACATAAAGATCTGAAAACAAAAGAAGAGAATGAAAGTATGTTATCTTTTACTCCAGATTGTTCTACGAAAGTTCAAGTGAAAATGTTCACGTGTTTAAAGTCAGTATGCTCACGGTCTAGAGAAATAGACGTTTTTCACCCAAACATTGAAAGAGGCTTGAACAAGATGTCTTAAACTTCCAATTTAACTCAGATGATCTTGTAGAGTTTCTGTCTTTTAAAAAAGGAAAACAGCGTAAATTGTTAAATTTAAAATTCTGAAAATCTGAAGAAGGGACTTAATATATAATGGGACGATTATGATATCAATATCTGTGACAAAATAGGTGAAAATTAGACTTAACTGTTTCAAAATTAGCCAATTCTATAAAGAAAGTATCTTTGTCATTTAGAAAAACACGTTTACCAAGAGTTAGCAACTGATACCACAGAGCACTGCATTTAGCAGAAATCATATTTTTTTTTTATTTTGCTAGATCTAAGAATTAAATTCTTCATGGAGATTAGTCTGATTTTTTGGGGGGGGGTCCTAAACTTTTGAGCAGGATGAGACTATGGACTTTTTAAAATCATCTCTTAAATTCCTGTTGAATAGACATACGACATTTAAGAAATCAGGTATTTGCCCTAAATATATATGCAAATAACATTGCCTTGGAGATACATTTTTGACATGAAGATAAAATTGCATTTTATTGTAAGTCATTGTTAGAGAGTTCGACAAAAGCACATGAAATAAAGGAATCTTTGAGAACTTTTTTAGGGGATATTTTGGTATTTTTGTGAGTGTTATGCATGCACGGTTTTTCTACTTAAGTTAGCTGCACTCAAAGGATTACAATATAATGTAGTTTCTATAATTAATTTATAAAACTGGAATGCCTGGGTTAAAACTCACGCAGCAACAGTGTGATTTAACAAGGATTATACCTGCAGTAGTGTTTGTATGGAGGAGCAACAAATCTTCAGTTTTTACAGAAAGGTGAATACCTTTGCAAATGACAGCAGTATGGTTCCAGTTCAGTCCCTGTTGAACTGTGAGGAACCAATTCACATGCCTAAGGTCATTTTGTGCTCAAGTATTTCCAAATTGGAGTCTGCATGTGTGTGCTGAGTTACAAACAGCATGCCAAACAAAGCTGTAGTTTACGGCAAGATGCACATTTTTTGGACACAATGGTAGGACAAGATGGGAGAACATAAGAATACAAGATAATCTATATTGCATATACACATTTTTTGTCTTAGACTTTTCTCACAGCAAATAATAATAAAAATACATTTTTACTCAGACTCATGTTGTAAAGATTCTGTCTGTAGTCTTTTTATCAGCTTGGGTGAGGAATTTATATCAATTTATACTGATCTCTAATTTTAAGCTTCTATTCTCTGACAATCAGTATTAAATAATAGATACTGCAAGGTTGAAAAAGCAGTGGTTTTATATCACTTAATTTACCAATTTTCCTTATTTTTAACCTTATATTCATGTTAATGAGAAATAATTTAATGATAAATGATAATCACAGGATCCTGTGATTATCATAGCTTCCTTATTATGCAGTTCCAGTAATTACTTCTATTTGTGTGACTTGTTTGATAGGTAGGGAATATGTAGGGTTCCTAATATTCTCAAAATTGAGATTAGAAAAAGGGAAAATGGTAACAATTTGAATATATAAAATGCTATATTAAAATGTGTATTTCCTGGTTCTCTATGGAATATTTATGTCCTTTATTCCAGTCATCTGCTGCTCGTTAGCATTTTTTATTGGCCTCATCTTTGTACAGCGCTCTGGAAATTATTTTGTCACAATGTTTGATGATTACTCAGCTACATTGCCTCTACTTATTGTGGTCATCCTGGAGAATATTGCAATTACCCGAATATATGGAATAGACAAGTAAGTGAAGGAAATTAATTTCCTTGTCTATATCAACAATATTCATTACAATAGTTATTACTATTCCAGTTATATACTATGAACTATTTGCTATGTCCGCATAGAGATAGGAAGGATATTCCTAACCCTAAATAGAGAAGGAAGAAAAGGAAAAACAAGGTGAAAGCACTGGGAATTAAGGATGAAAACAGGAATTTACATTGATAGTTGTTCCTTGCTGGTATATGTAAATGTGAAGATCTTGTTGTTGGTATGGTAAAGGACTCAAAATGAGTCAGCCTGGACTTGAATTAATTCTGGTTTAGAAACAAATTTGGATAAGTAAGGACTAATTCCCATTTCTGCTACATGTATAATCCTGTAGTTGAGCATACAGACATGAAAGTACCAGGTGAAAAACAGATGCAGTAAATGACCTGAACATTGATTTAGTATTGTCCAAACAGGGTGAGTTCCACTGTGAAAGGAGGCAGATGTGCAGAAATTGTCAGCTGCCTTTCAGTAAAGTTGGTTAGGGTATCTTAAATGCTTCAATTCTTGAATTAGGGTTCATTTTATTCATGTCTTCAAAAGGCTTTCTGACAATATAATAATAATTAGTAGCTATGTTTCTCATACTTAGTGACCATCTCAGCCTTCCTCTGCAACAGTTCTAAGAACTATTCCTAGTTGTCTAAGATTTCTTCAGAATATCCTCCTTCAGACACCCAGCATTTTTCTTTGCAAAAACGATCAGAGTCAGCAACTTAGGGTTGTCTTTAATTGTTGTAACACCAGAGACTCAAACTCAGAGGTTAAGGTCCAGTTATATTACATCGTCTTAGACATAATATCCGTGAACATATAGAAAAAACATTGCATCCAAAGGGATTACAACCAAAGGACAGAGGCAGTACATGCATGTAGACAGTTAAGGAAGCAACAAGTAGAAGATCCTGGTTAGCTTGATGATTACAGGTTTTGTAAAGCAGCTGCTATCTAATTACATGTAGACTTTACAGAAAACAAAAGGTTTGTTGAAATACAACTGGAGGAATTTACGGGTGAGGGATGATAGTTCTGAAGACAACTTTCTGAAAATATAGAAAGAGGAAGGTAAAAACTTGAATCAGCAAAGCTAAATGTGATAAGTAGCTTATAAAACATGTTAAGTTTTTACTTACATGGACAGACGGATGATGAAAGATCTTGAAAGGACGCATAACAGATTTATGTTTAATTGGATGAAGGACTGGAGACTTCAGAAAGAAAAGGCCATCTACAGAGGGCACAAGGCATTTGTAAATTCACTTTCTTTTTAACAGTGCTTATCAATGCAAAGAAAGCAATGTAAGCAAAGGACAGGACAGTCCAAACTACTCAGTTAAATTATTTTTGAGCTTTTATGTGACAGTAACTTCACACGTGTGACTGCTTTCAATGCACATTTGTTGCTATGGGAGCTTTTTTAAAGTTGCATTTCAAGAGGCAATGGAAATACAAGGAAGTTCAACAGAATCAGTGCTTTGTATGCACACCCTCAAAGAATTAGCTCTAAAAATAGACTCTGTTTTTCTACTGGTTCTGGAACCTGTGTATGTTGCTGTCAAGAATTACAAAAATAAGGAGTTTGTTCAGAACATAAATTGCAGTTTTGAAGCACAAGGAGGCAGATTTAAGACTTCACAAAGTTTTATTTCAGCAGCTTATATAATGCGAGCCATAGCTTATATGTAATGTAATGTTATTTTTTACGGAGCAGCACACATATGGGTTCAGAATTAATTTAGCAGAATCTGTAAGATGTGCTTTTTCTATGTGCACTCAAAAGTGATGACATATGCCTCGGTAAATAGCTCAATAGACAGTATAAGAAGATGTAAAAAATAATCTATAAAAAGAAAGGTGAATTTAAACATCTTTCCAGCATGCCCACACACTAAATTTGATCCCAGGCATGTTCCCATCGGGCCTTCTTCTGAGAAAATGAGGGGAACTGCTGTCAACAAGACCTGAATATCCCCTCTGGACCCTTACCTGAGCTTTCTTTCATCTTTTTAATGTTCATGTTGCCAGCAAGGACAAAGTGTGAGAGAATTGTTTTGACTACTGCTTGGCTTGGCCTATCTCAGAAACAAGCGGTGTCTCCCTTTTTTTGCATATTTGCACAAGAACAAGGAGAACAGAAACACAAGGTCATATCCTATATCCATCACTTCTGCCTTACTCTAGACTTGTAGGCAGTCTGGTCTGCCTCCTTAATCTCCTCACCTCATCCTCTGTCCCTGGAGCACCTGGAAGAGAAGAGCCCCGTTTTCTGATTGCAACGGTTTTCTGTATGAGGTGGCACAAGAAATTAATTTGGTGCCATCTACCCCTATAGTTTGAGAGAAGAAATAGAAAGAAAAGAAGCCTTTTTGTGCAGGGGATGAGGTGAGGCAATGGAGTAGACTGTTTTCTCAGTTCTTGTTTGCAAGTAGCTGTTTGCATGGGAGGAATGGCTAGAACTGCTTGGAAAAAGGGTAGTATCTCCTACATTGGGAGGGAGTCCCATGTGTCCCATGGTGTGGAACAGGAGAGCATCCATACAGTGTAGGTCATAAGATGCGGCTTTCAAGACCATCCTTTCTTAGATCCCCTTCGTTCTTTTATATGAAGAAATTCCCATAAGTTATTTTGTTGTATCTTTAAATAATGTTCACATACATACTGCATCAAAAGTTATATGCAATTGTCTGAATTGCAGTCACACCTTAGCACAGACCTAATGTAGCTTCTGCGTTGTAAACTGATCATCACAGTTCAAATACAAGGGAGAAGACTTGAGTACCAAGCATTCCTGCAGTACAGGGATTCAGAAAGCTCTACCAGTATTTACATACTTCCTGTCACACTTAACCTTGTTTATGGAAGTAAGCAGAGTGTAGTTTCATCTTGCTCTTCTGGTGTGGTGATTGCTTCTAAATAAAAGATTATTTTTTGGAGAAACTTATGGAAATGCACGGTATCATTTGAATTCACAAATGAGGTGAACTTGTGTTTCAAAGGTATGGCTGCTTAGTTTAGATACCTGTGTTAGTGGAAAGGATTACTGTAATTAGAATGTATTTTAAAAGATTCCTTAAAGTCGTGTTGCTTTGCATTTTTTTTTTATGCTGCAGTAATTAATTACATCTGTAAGATCTCTACTAAAAGATAGTTTATTTAGTTGGAGCCTTGAAAATGTGGTCTCGCTGCTAGGGAAAGTTAAAGGTATTTCACAGTTTCTCACCCAGAAAGATTCAAAGCAAAAGCTACATTTAATGCACTTCAAGATACTTTTTGCCCTGGTCTCTATCTTTTAGTTAGCAGTCTGGCATTGTGACAAATCAGGCATTAAAACTTGGAGTGGAAACTTTTATGGACTAGAAAGGATTCCTGATTCTCCTTTATATTTGATTATATTAGGAGTTGAGTCTAAACTTTCAGAAGTTAAAAGCCAGATTACTAACTCGCTGCACCATGTAGTTATTAATAGTTCTTCTATTTGTTTCTTTGGAACTGGAAGTGTAAGTTGTATTATCAGCCAGTCAAGAAAACTTAAGTGCAACTGTATCTGAATTCTCTTTTTTCCCTCAAATTGGGTGTCGTTCATCAACTGTGGAATCAAAATGTACACAATAACACTAACCTTTTCTTCCCTTCACAGATTTATGGAGGATTTAAAGGATATGCTTGGTTTTTCTCCAAGCCAATACTATTACTATATGTGGAAGTATGTTTCTCCTTTGGTATTATTACTCTTGCTGGTAGCTAGCATTGTTCAAATGGGATTAAGTCCTCCTGGTTACAATGCTTGGATTGAAGATATGGTATGTATGTAAAAATATTTATTTGTATTATAATGGTCATATTTACAATGTTTCAAGAATACATGAAAAGGCAAAAATCTGCAGCTGTATTTGTAATTCTATTTGTAATAGAATTATTACAAATAATGGTATGGCCATTTTTATCTCAAGTAATATTTGTGTGAAATCTATAATATTTAATTATATGGTAGCTGTTTTACTTTAAAATCATAGCTACTGTATTAAATACAGTCTCTGGTAAGATTTTTTAAGAAATTTGTCTGTGAAATGCCAAGGTAACTAACTCCTCTAAGTGTTAGTTCTGCCTTGTAGGCCCATTGGTCTTGAGCTGCTTTACAGGCTTGTCATACATAGTATGAGAGGATAAATTGTCAGAGAAAGGTATCTCAGGGACCTTCTGAATTGAGTGCAAGACCATATTAGCCAGGAGGGAAAAAAAATAGCAATAGATGAGTAAGGTATGTAAAAGTGGCTTTACTAACGCATCTGACCAGGCAACCACTATTACTTTCTTGGGATTCTCACATAAACGCTCGTTTTACATTAGATTTTGGCCTCACAAATCAGGAAAGTTGATACCTTAGAGTATCCGACAGACTAGAGGTTAGAGCACTCAACTGGGCCATGAGAGCCGTGGGTGCTGGTACTGCCTGTCTCGGCTCGTTTGGGGCTGTGCTGGGATCTGTCCCCCAAGCATCTTGAGTGAGTAACTCCAGCAGTCCAGTTTTCCTCTGTGATAGAGGTCTTAACATTGCACAGGCCTAAGCTGCATTTTGAAAGATACATTCATAATTTGTCTTTTCTTTTGTACTGCTCAGGCTATAGAAGAGTTCCACAGCTATCCAACATGGGGAATGATTATCTGTATTTCTCTGATGGTCTTGGCTGTACTGCCTGTCCCAATAGTCTTCCTGGTGCGCCGCTGCAACCTTATCGATGACAGCTCTGGTAGTTTGGCAGCTGTATCCTACAAAAGAGGACGGATAATAAAGGAGCCTGTTAATCTGGAGGGAGATAATACAAGTCTGATTCATGGGAAGAGCCCAAGTGAGGTACCATCTCCAAATTTAGGCAAAAACATATATCGAAAACAGACTGGATCACCTACTCTGGACACTGCTCCAAATGGACGCTATGGTATTGGATATCTAATGGCAGATATGCCTGATATGCCAGAGTCTGACTTGTAACTGAGATTAGAGAGAAGAAAAAAAAAATAAAATAAAAGCTTTCTGTTTGTTTCTCCTCTATCACTGATCAGGGCTCTCCTAAGAGAAGTGGTCAGCTTCACTTCCTAGAGAGAGATCTCAGGTGCTCTGAAGCAACAGTCTTTAAAATGCCATGACAGTACATATAGGTTGAGAAAATTCCCTTTGGATTAATTCTCAGTTTTTCATTTGCACTGAAGGACATGCATTCAAAATCAGTGACAGCCTACATCTGCCAGCTTAGCCAATAATTTTTTTTTTTAATTTCTTTGTAAAATCAAAAGCTTACTGTCTCTGAAGTCCAGGTGTCACTCACTCAATTGATGTAATATTTCTGCAGTAATATCACTGCAAATCTTTTTTTTTCCCTCTCCTTTCACATTAATTCCCCAGTATTAAAAGTGTGCTCTGAAGTACTTCACCAAACCCATGTTTCCGCACACATTTGTATATAATACCTTATGTAGATATGCTGTACTTATTTTGTTAGCACTGATATTTACTTAAGCTATTAGCTAAGTAAAAAACTGCAAACTATTTTCTTATGTAATAGCTGTATAGAGCAATAGTACTAGAAAATCAAGGAGTAGACTTATGGGAAGGCAAGGAGAGACTCCCTGTTCACTTGGGACTGTATAAGCTGTGGCTGTATATTTTGTGTAAAATAGTTGCTTTTTTTCAGTGTGAAAACAATGTAAGAGTGAGTCACTCCAAGAATCTTAAGGATTGTGCAGATTCTGCATTTTTTCTATGCTGTGTGCCTAAAAAAGACCTTGATATTTATTGTGGTTACAAGATTACATATATATTATATTTATATAATATACTTGTAATGTAAATATGTATATTACTCTGTATGCAGTCGTTTCAAAAGTTTAAGCAAGATGGCTTTTTTTAATTAGTTTCTTTGTTTGCTTCTGTTTTATGCAGATATTTTTTTTTCAGTCTGTAATTGTTAAGAACTGTATGGCATTACATTTTAACCTATGAATAAAGATACTGAAAAAGTGTTTCTCTGTAATTTCATAACACTTATTACAGCATATTTGCTTTTCCATCACCTGGTCTGTTTGAAAGAACAGCATTTACCACCTGAATGAAGATCAATTTAAAAAAAAAAAAAGTGCTAAATCGATCATGTTCTTTTTAAACTATTGGATAAGGACTTTTGCTATGAATACAGTAGCAGACAGAGCATTGTAAGTGGCCATGACATGCTGAAAGCTAGAATGTGAGTAGCACTTAACTTGAAGAGGTTTAGACTTCTGACTTTACTCTCTTTAATGAGCAAAGGGCAGAGCCTAGCTGCAGTGCCCCAACATTGGCCTGATAAAGAGATTGGTTTGAGAAAAATACAAAACTCAGTCATAGCCAGCTAGGGATTTCTCACTATTCTATTCTCATTCTCCAGTTTAACTGTGTTTAAGAGGCCAAAAACTGAAACAGATGTTTTATACAGGTGTTACTGTATATCACCTCTATCGTCCACCTATTGACATGGGAAGAAAGTTGTGAATAGCAAGTTTATGCTGTCTGCGCTGCTGGTGGCCAACACAAAAGTGCCTTCTGCTTGTCTAAGTGCAGAAAGAGCTGTGTTCTAACATGTGCTGTAGCTGTGTCACTCAAGATTAGTTTTGAGGTTGACAGCGTGCAAAACAATGCCAGATAAATTCTTACAAGAGGTGGAGTAATAGCAGTGGTCGAGAGGAAGCCTATATCAGGCTTATCTAGCACAGTTAAGATTATGCTTTTAAAATTGGTGGTTGAAGTAATCCACTAAAACTGGAACATGTGGCAGGAAACTGTCTTCATTTAAGCAGACTGCTCGTTCCTAAATGGCAGTGGTAGAAGGTACAAAATGTGTCAAAACCAGAAAACAAAATGGAAGGACGTGTAAAATAGTTCTGCTTTGACAGAATGGCAGCAAATTTCCACTGCCATATCCCATCCCTAAAATGAGTCTATGCCCGGGGTACTTGTGCGTTCCCTCTGTGCCTGATTTGCAGAGGACTTGGCTTTGGTGACACGTGCTTTTGGTCATGTAGACTCTAGGCTTAAATGTGAAGGGGGGGCCAAATTACCGCTGTTACCCAAATACTCGTTAAAATGAGAGCAAGATCTTGCTGTCAAAGAGCAATCACCATTTCTATTTGAAGGATCACAGAGGGAGACGATGCTACATAAATAGATTGTTGAAGATGATTCTTCTGGGAAATACATGTCTTGCTCCTGTCGTTTTGCCTGCCTCTGAGCACTTTTAACCACTATTTATTTTTTTCCACTCATTTAAACTGCTGCTTTTCTACCGTTTACCTCCTAATAGCTCCCAGCAGTGATTCTCACCCCAGCTTCATGAAAGCTTGCAGGCTTGGGAAATCTCTGGATGCATATCCTGTTTCCTGCCAGATGGCAGAGGTATGTTTTGATCTCAACAGTGATTGAACTCTCTGAAGTGCAGAAGTTTGTCGTTGACTGAAGAGTTTGTCTGGTTTAGTCTAAGGGGTTAAAAATAAATGCAACATCTCTCCTGCCTAATAGAGTAGGACTAGTTAAAGAAATAACTAGATGTGGTGCTTTTAAAACATTAAAAATGTTTATGATGAAAGGTAACAACCAAATCCACAGATATTAATGAACGACTGAAAAGTCAAATATGAAAGTGCATGTACACCTACAGCTTAAAAAAAATGCTCACACATTTGGGAATTAGATTGTGACCATATATATATATTTGTATTCATTATTTGTACATGTTGACTTATTTGGGGGGCCAAAAGAGGAATGTTTTTGCTGTGAGTTGTAATAAATGAGAGAGCAAGTAAAAAACAGCAACAACAAAAAGCAAAGTATCAAAATAAGCAGCAGAAAAATATTTTGAACAATCATGAAGTACTCTGAGACATCACTCCAATGGTACATAGGATTGCAATGTCTGTGTTTATAATATTTGGAGAAACTTATGTGTTACAAATATATTTTAGCACTGTTAAATAGTCTTAATTCTGCTTGGGAGCAAGTTGCTACTTGATGCCTTTATGAATAAAAAGAAGTAAAAGAAGAGTAGGAAACAGGAAAGACAGGAAAGGAAGAATTCAAATATTTATCTGCTTAAAAGCCAGAATGTTTGTATTTCATGCCAGGCATAACCACACTTAATTTGTCTGTTGTTAAGGAAAAAGATCATTGCAAAAGGCAGTCATGCTTAAAATTAAAGAAAAGCCCATTTGTATCTTATACAATGAGAAGTAGCCTAAGAACTAAATCACCCATGTGGAAAGTGAAAATATACCAATATAATTTATTGCAGAAGGCGTAAGGTTTCTGAAACTATTATGCTTTGTGAAGACTGATTTCCCCAAAGAAAGGTAAAAGAATTGGTCCACACCAGTGTAATGTAAATGAAAGTCCTGTCTTTACTATCATATTCCTCAATTTTGGTTTTCAGATTCAGTGAATTTCAGGCCAGAGATCATGCAGTCCCCTTGCCTAATTTTATTCTTTCCTGGTGTGCCAAAATCTTATCATGATATTTTATGAAATACAGAGAAGAAAAAGAACCTGGACAACCACAGAGTCACAGTTGAGGTTGGAAGGGACCTCTAGAGATCATCTAGTCCAACCCCCTGCTCCAGCAGGGACACCCAGAGCACGGGGCACAGGGCGGCATCCAGGCGGATTTGGAAGATCTCCAGAGAAGGAGACTCCACAGCCTCCCTGGGCAGCCTGTTCCAGGGCTCTGTCACCCTCACAGTGAAGAAGTTCCTCCTCAAACGGAGATGGAACTTCCTATGCTTTAATTTATACCCATTATCCCTTGTCCCGTCACTGGCCACCTCCAAGAAGAGTTTGTCCCCGTCCTCTTTACATTCTCCCCTCAGGTATTTGTACACGTTGATAAGATCCCCTCTCAATCGCCATGCTAAACAGGCACAACTCGCTTAGTTGTTCCTCATACGATAGATGCTGTCTTATCCATCTTCGTCACTTTACCCTAGACCCTTACAATTCAATCTTCACCTTCTCAGGGAGAGCAGGTACTAGATAGTTGATGTTGACTTTGACTCCTCTGGCTGGCATAATGGGATGAGTAACCAAAGTAAGTCATGTCTGTGGTAACAGTGACTGAGAAAGGAATAATCTCTTTGCAAAAGTTTTCCAGACTCTGAAATCAGTCGATACTGAACACCGTGGAAGACTTTCCCTGTTCATCTGAGACTGAAATATTCGCTGTTCTGAGATGCAGTATGCTCAAGGGAAGCTCCTTAATTCTACAGAAGCAACTTTAAAAAAAATGTAGTTATGCCAGTTTGCCAAAATGCAGGAAATTTAATATATACATTTAAATGCCTGGTTTGATTTTTGTGGCTTTAGGGGAAAAAAAAAAAAAAAAAAAAATCTACTATTTAAGATGCCATTTATCTCATTGCCACTAGATGGCGCCCTTAGTTCATATGTGTGAGTAAAAATGACATGTTCTCCAGTCTTTATATGGGGAAAATACTGTATTTTTGTACTCTACCAAAGCAGAGTTCTTCAAAATGACCGTAATGCCTCTCTCTCTCTCTCTCTCTTTGTTTATGAACTTGGCAGTCTGAGCTTAGTTCTAAGTTAATCTTCTGTACTCTTAAATGCGTCAATTAATATTTGATATTTTTTCTATCAAAGAGAGAAAGACACAAAATTAATGATAATAAAAATGGCAACATTCTATCAATATCCCAGTGCTAAAGTGGTACAGTTTGGGGTTTCAAGGGCAAGAAACTTCTGATCTAATATTTGGAAGAAAGTAATTTCCTAACATGTCTCAACAGTCTGCAACTGAGCACTCTCTGGTTGATAGATCATTTCTGAAATAACTTCAGTTAGCAAACTGATTAGCAGAATAAGAAAATCTCAGCCAAGAAGGATACCAGTAACAGCAATAATAATATTAAAGACTTCAATGCATCTCACTGCCATCAGTGTTGAAAGGACAAATGAGATGTTGGGAAGCTGAGGGACAGCAAGGAGCCATGGGAAGCAGCAGCAGCTGTTGTGGTTCAAGTCTGTAACTTTGCCTCTGAAGAAAGCAAGTACCATTTATCAGCATTTTAAAAGTAGTATAGCTAACTAAGACATGGCTTGGCCAGCTGCTTAACCCTTTTGGTAAAGCCACTGTGGCATACTGTGTGCTCACGTTGACAGAACTACTGCACCCTTCATCCATGTTGTGTTCTCATCACTTAGTACTGAGACGAAATCTTAGAGTAAGATTTCTGTCTCAAATCAGCGTTCATAAATGTCTTTGTTGCTCTTTCTTCCCAAGAAAGTAAATAGACTGGCCATGTGAGCTATCATGATAGAGCCTGGAAATTAGATGTTAAAATAAAGCAGTTATTTGGTGATATAAAGATATAAAGGATATAAAGGATATAAAGATATAAAGGATATAAAATAATCTTGTTCTAACTGAAAGAAATAGAGCTGATTAGTAAAGAAAATAATGTAATAGAAAGAAGAAATAAAATTGCTTTAAAGCAAGTCTCACTAATTTCCAGATTTTCCAGAAAAGGAAATACATGCAAAGGGAGAGTCAGGTTTGGAGCTGAAACAACAAAGAACAAAGTGTAAAAGAATCCATAGAGGTGAGAAGAGGAGGAATTGAAAACAGAGCTCATTGAATGAAGAAAGAGCAAGAGAAGGAGGAAAAAGATATTGCTTAAATAAGAATTACTCAATGAAAGACAAAGTGCAAAATGAACAGATGGCCAGAAAGATAAAGAGATATGGAAAAAGGGTCTTTGAGAAGAAAACAGAATTTAATGGC